CATTTATTAAAAACAACAAACTCAAAACAAAAAAATCGATTTTTCAAACGACGACTTACCAGTAGTTTGACATCATAAATATCGCCAGCTTTGTGTGAAAAGTTGATAAGTCTACATTTTATGAAGCCTCAAATTTTGATATAGAGAGTAAGAGAAATTAAGGATTAAGGTACTTGTTTTACTTTTTCTCGTTTATATTCAATAAAAGATAAATTTTATAAGTCAAAAGAGGCCCCGAATATGCAATAAGGCCAAAATAATACGAAGTTTTTTAACAGAGATCTAATCCTTCTGATTTGTATGGAGTTTTGCTTTGCTTTAAACACGCAAAATGTTGTTTTCAAAGTCCCTGTAAAATTTGTAAAAATGGACTTAGCAACTTTTCACTTTAATCCAGCGGCATGTTAAATATAAATATGGAAACATAGATTACTTTTTATTAAACTTTGAGTTACTAATATTATACATACATATATTTTTTTTAAATTGCGTAAGAAAATTGTTGTACATAAAAAGATGCAGCAGTTTGTTTGAACTGATTTAGAACGGGAACATATCTTTTTGTCAAAAGGCTGCGAAACGCTTTCAAATAAAACATTTGCCTATTTGAAACTTTGAGGCGTTTAAAGCAAGTGAAGCAAAGCTGCCATTTGGCCACCCTTCATACGTTTTAGTATATTCCTAATCACTTTTGACAGTTCTCAAAGCGAAGCAAGCAAAGCAAGCCTGCATTAGGCCAGCGCCTTAACAATTACATCCAAAAACTTTAAACTTTTTGTTCAAAATTTTTAGAAAAACTCCAGGTATACAGTTTTTTTGTTAATTTAATTTGAGTAGGAAATCGCGCTGATTTTTATGTGGACGCCGCTAGCATTTTCTTCTATATAAAAGGCACTATCCTCAGATAAAACGTGAGTGAATTGAACCCCACTTGGCTTCTTATATTTTTTAATAACTAATGGACCCCACTATTTTTTTAATTTTTTGAAAGTGCCTTGAGATCTGCACGATTCGTTCCATTTTCAAAAATGTGGCACTTCATTAAAAAGCTTGACCTGTGCACAGTGTAGACAGTGTGCCAAGTAATGCCAATATCCATATTTGACAATTCGTACGTGAACTGATGTGTTTGTGTTAGTTTTTTATTTAAATTAACCCTCACGTAACACATGTTAAAAGGAACACATTTTTTTGCAAAACCACATATGGCATTCTGACTCCTTAATAATTAAACCTAGCAGAGCTTTTTGCTAACCAAGCCATAGTAAAAATACACATCTTTTTGAAGTTAATTTTGTACATTCTTAACATTTCCACATGGATAGATGGAGTTCTGGTATTTGCTTTGACGGAACTGATTCCGTATGCAATCGCTTAGGCTCGTACTAGAAAGGTCGGAGGTTTTAAAATGATTATCACCAGGGAACGGATTTTATGGAAATTGCCTTTTTTTCTGCTAAAGAGATAGAGTATATTCGATTAAGAATGTCCACGATTTAGCTTTCCCTGATTCCATATATACACATTTGAAGTTGCCTTTTTTAAGATATTTGCCTTGTTTTGCCTTTTTTAAGATATTTGCCTTTTTTGCGTTTTCTACCTTTAAAAAAGTGATTATAGCATTTACAATTTTTTTTTTAAGATTAAAAAATATACACATGCCCATACTGTCTTCAGGTATATAACTTGAGAATAGAAATCGCTGCATCTTTTAGGCGCATCAATATTACATAGTTGAACCAAAAAAAAAAATTATTTTGTGAGCTGCCTGCAAATGTTTTTTGATGTTGGCTGTTGTCTGTCGTTTCACTTGAACATACATATGAAAAGAAATTCCAAATAATCAGCGAAAAAAGGCCGATGCCGATGCTCAATTTTGTGCCGATACTAGCCGATGCCGATGCCGATTAATCGGTCGGACTCTAATTGTTAGTGTACGGGATCAGTATGACAAAAGGAACACAAACTTTTCGTACTTGTTGTGGAAATGGGTAATGGTCGGTTTGTTTTCGTACTGTTTTTAAACCACGTATATTTTGAGGAATTTCACAGAAACAATTGTTTTTGATATTTAGTATTTTTATAATTCTTGCTATCATGAAAATAATCCAAAGTAATATTTCTGTAACGCATTAATCGATGTTTCTAAAAGGCATATTTATTTGTTAAAATTTATATTAAAATGGCTCTGCCAAGACTATAAAAAATTATATTAATAGACAGTTGTCCGACAAGATGATAGTACATAGTCTTAAATTGTTAATATGCAGTTAATAATTCTATGTAGTAAAATATAAATTTTATAATCAGAAAAACTAAAAGGCGGTAAAAAATGTTAAACTAGGTTTATGTCTGCGTCCTTAAATCCAATTCAGACAAAATTCTTTACGTATTAATAATTAATAACTTACTTCAACTCATTAAATACATTGATTTAAGATATGAAATATGCATATACATATGTACATCCAAAAATGACTGAAGTATCTGCTATTTAAAACACGTAACTTGACAATGTCCAATAATAAATAGATATGATCTATTCAATTAATATTTACTTTTTTTGAGATTCACTCAACATACATACATATGTATGTTTTATTAAACATTAGAGCGCAACTTATACTAGTTTCTGTTTTGATTTAAATTATTCATTGCTGTAATTTATTTCATTAAAAATAAAATTTCATACGTTACACGAAGCGGTAAAAGTTGCAGTCAGAAACAAAAGAGGATCACTAAAATAAAATTTAAATTTAATTTTAAATGAGTATACATTCAGCGTTTTTTTTTTTTCTAATCAAACACTTTTTAAATAAAGTACTTTACAGTTGTTTATATAATTTACTCGTTCAAACATCATCCCAATAGTACTTCACATTATCACGTTCACGTGGCACATAGAAAGCCGCACAAGTACTTTCCCAAACCTCTTTCGGATACTCCCACTCCGAGCTAAAAGTCCATTGTTTGGTATCCAAGTCGTAACACTGCACTGATGAGGTGGCGCGATTTATAGTTGCCGTCGAAAGCAACCCGCCAATAAAGTAAACTTTTCTTTTGACCGCAGCGACGCCGGTATAATACTTTGGCAAAGGATTGCGCGATTCAGTCACCCACTGATCAGTGATGGTATCATATACGTCCACGGCATCGGCTAAAACGCGCATTTCGGTCACAGGGTCCTCGTACCAACCACCGAAAGCATAAATCCGACCGTCAAAGACAATGAGTACATGATCGGCGCGTGGTGTCGGCATCGGACAAAGTTTTTGCCAATTGTTTGATTTCGTGTCAAATCTCCACAGCGTTGCAAGGACAATGTGTCGGTCGATTCCACCTGCAAGGAGCATACATTCGATTTTTTTCACATTAACATCTCGCAAGCTTGACTTATGTGTATCAAGTTGTTTATTTACCCGATATATATAGTTGGTCACCCAAGACGACGCCGGCATGCTGACTTCGATTCTCTGACAGCGCTGGCAGGTACTCCCAGCGATCAGCATTTGCGTCATAGCGTTCGCAATTTGAAACCGCCATATCATGTGCCCAAAGCTCAGCGCCACCATCAATTTCGTTCAGTTCGCAGACTCCGCCGACTGCGTAAAGAAAATTATTACCCATAGCATTCAACGAAAATCGACAGCGGTCGGCCTGTATTGGCGCTATGGTTTTCCATTTGTTTTTGGCGGGACAGTAGCGAAACCCGAAAGGATGGATATACTCCTTCAGGCAAACATCATAAGACCCGCCTACTACATACAAATCATTACCCAACACTGCTGTACCGTAATTGCCTGAACGGGAAAAATAATTGAAAATATTTTGAATTTCATGAAAATATGAAAGAAAATGTCTTACATGTAGTATGTATATCTGTGGTGTCACTTATATAAATGATAACTTCATTTTACCTTTAAAAAAAAAGCACTTGCATATTAAATTAAATATTTAAAACTTCGAGGAGTTTGTTATTTTTTTGCAAACTGATTTAAGATTGTTATGCAATGCTATAACAATAATTTCCAAATTCTAAGCACGAATTTGTTTTTAATAATTTAATACCACAAATATCAATAATCTATAAAAAGTTATATCTTATATACCCTACACAACAGATACGATTTTTACGCTTACGTACATTGTTCAATGTGCGGTATAACGGTAAGACTCTCCCATTTGCCTTTGGAAGGTAGAAAACAGCTTATCCGATTAGTTAGGCCATTTGTCTCAAAGCCACCTATTTTAACCAGGGCGAGTTCCATTCCTCGCGTATTCGTTAAAACGTCCGTCGAGAGTAAGTCATCGACATAGGTGTCAGATAAATGCAACTTTCCAACCTCCTGTTTTAACATTTCTTCATTTAACACCCGAAAGTAGGCCAAGAAAATTGAATCAATGCCGGACTTAAGTTTTGTATTCCATTTGGTCTTCATGACATCTAGAGCACATGCACTAATTTGATGGTACTGTACTTTTCCGAAAAGTCGTCGCGCCAATTCCGGTTTTAGATCAGACTCCAAACAGTATTCCAAAACGATTTCAAGCACTCTCTGTTCAGAGCAATCCACAGGATAATTACATGCGAGCACATGTTCGAATTGGTCTAATGTGAGGCTAAGTAAATCGGGAGTCTGCGAAAATTCATCGAGGCGTGAACACATGTACCGATAAGCTTTCTTTTTCAACGGTTCTAGTGAGTACAAGTCGGCTAGAGCAGTAATCGCAACGCAGTTGTCCAAGTCAATTTGTGACTCAAGAAAATGTGAACAGGCGTCAATAGCGGCCTTCATCTGGACATGTGTCGACACAGACAAAACATCTTGCACATTATTACGATCTAGCTCCAGTTTTGAAGTATATACATATTCTAACAGCAACTCTAGACCATGCGCATTTATGCCATTTAATTTTATTTCAGACTGGTGTGCTTCACGCATAGCGTCAGTGAACATAGCGCAGAAGTAATCACTGCACGCAGCCAAAACAACCTTATGTGCCTAGGACAGAAATTATTTTGTACGGTTGCTTATCATGTACCTTGTTGATGTTTAAAGGCCGCATTTTACTCACCTTGAATGTTCGTTCTTCAACGTGCAGGGTAACATCAAATAGCTTTTCTGCACAACGCAACGCATTGAGACCCTTCATCAGTGCCTCAGAATGAATGATTTGCATAAAATTATCACTATTGGCATTTCGTGAATATGTGGTTGAGGCACAAACCGCACATGTAGAGTTAGGACGGTTTTCAGGGCCACAATGTGATATAGAAGCAGCGCCACCAGCCATCCTTATGGGGGATATATGTAATTGGAAAGCTCAGACCATCCGAGAATGTGCGTATGCTAATATTGTGTTGCCGTTTGCGTTAACAATTGTTTCGGAAACTGTGATTTATCTTTATAAATATATCAAAGTACAAAAGTAATATGAAATTATAAAAGATGCATCAAACTTGGAGAAAATAAGGGGGTTGATAAATGTGTATGTATGTACAATTTCTGGCTTAAAAGGGCATTTTTGGCTTTGCCGAATAAGCCGTCTGACGAGTAAGGGTGACCGTGCGCGTTTGCATCTAAGTGTTTCCGGTTTTGGAACAAATTTTAATGCGTTTCGAATCATTTTGTTGGAATAGCCAACTGTACGGCCCACTTCCGCCATAAATTTTGCCTTGAGTCGTTTTTTTTTTAAATAACATTTTCGGCGCTGCAATGTTTTCCACGTCCCATAGCCATTCAAACATTTTACAAAATTCAACTTTTTACACAACAGATGTATTAAATAAACTATATTTACCTTTATTCACAAAAAATTTCAATAAAGGAAAGATGTGTTTTAACCGAAATGAGCAGCCAGACTATTACTTTTACCACTTGAAATCGACTACCACTGAACAAATTACTTGAAATTGGGACAACCGTTATTATTTCAAGGAAAACGAAGCACTTTTGAAAAGAGAATTTTATTACCTAAGCCTGAAAATTATGATGCACCCAGATTTTTCAAATCAGAATGAAAAGTTCATAGCACTAGTGCTATTTTTTTACCGGCACTGTATCTATGGTTATTTGCAAAAGTAATATTGTCCTACTTCAGCTAAATTTATTATTTTTTTTTTTTTGTGTATTCACGAGAGTTCATTCACATACATATTTTTCTTATCACCTAAGCCAGGCCACAGCGCTCCCGCCTTGCCTACACCGTTGTAGTATGCGATTTTCGCCTCTGCTATTAAATATTCTCGTTGTCTATGTTGCTGTTAGCAACTATCAAGGTTGGGGAAACCACCCTTCGCAGACAAACATTTATACAAATATGTAATTATGTAGATAGGTAAAGTTTCCGCTGCAGTTCTCCTTGCGCGTCATTGATACTTTTTATTACCCATTGTTATCAATTGCATATGCATTACCACGCTTGTGCGATTTAGATATTCGTCCAGAATTATATATGTACATACATTACCTTTCTATTTTGAGGAAGCTGTGGCAATATGTATTCTCGAAGAGTATGAATATAATTTGTTTGCCAACTCCACGGCAAGCAAACCAACTTTTTACACAATTATATACATACTTCAACCAATCTGTGAATGTACTTTTTTAATTTCAACTTAACAATTTTTTAACGGTATCAATGGTATGATGATTTTTTTAAGCATAAAAATCCACTTTCGTTTACAAGCTCAAAATATTTTTCCGTGAACGGTAAGATAAGGAAATAAAAGTGTCAAAAATTAGTTACTATTTTGGATTGGATAAAAGATGATAATGAAATTGCAAAATGTCAGGTGTGCGTTACAGGGTAACACATATACAAAAATTAATATATCGTTCACGAAAATTCGGAAACGACAACTACGCGTTATAAAATCACAAACAAGTACAGTGTCGGTAATGCAGTATAATGGGCAGTTAGTAGGGTTGATTGTTCATTAGACCTACAAAAAAATAAGTTTATATGGGTTTTGCGTTGGCCACAAGGAGAATAGGCGGCTGAGTGGTTAGAGGTGCGTACTACCACTCCGTAGGCCCTTCGTTCAATACCTGGGCATGAATCACGTTTGACTACAATCGTCTGGACGATATCGTGTTGAGATTGTCTTGCTTCACAGAAAACCAAGAATTGTTTGATCGTTTGTGCGATATCATCAACTCGATTCCAATTTCGCTTACTGCCATCCCTAAATTGGCGCGTCAAGCGCTAAGTAACTGTCAAAAATCCTCATGCCCATACAATTTGTATGAAACATCCCACAATAACGCGACTTTAACGCCGAGCAAATGGAATTTTCATTTTTGACAGGGCGTTACGTGTTGAAGTTGGATGCAGAAGACGGAAAGAAAGAGAAAGGACAAAAAAGTAAAAGAGGAAACGAGAATAAAAACGAGAGGACCTGAGAAAACGTCAAAAATTACGACGCGTTGATTTGGGGATAGCGCGCGCTGACACTCGTTGACAGTGGATAACGCAACGCTTGGCGCTCCAATTTAGGGACGGCAGTTAGGAAGAAAAGGTAATACATAATCGCAGAATTATGAAAATGTTGTTTGTGCTTAGATATTTGAGTAAATAATGAGATTCACGCCAAACGACACTAACGGTGGTTGCTGAAAAGTCTATTGTCTTTATAATTGTCTGGACGCCTACTTAACACAACAATTTGACAACTAATGCATATTATCAATTGTCTTGTCTGAAATTGTCCTATGTAAACGCAGCGTAAGAATCTAAATGGTAAAAGCAACCATGAGAAAAAGAAAATTAAAAAAATGTTTTTTTTTGCGGTTAGGGCTCAATATGTACATTGTAAAGTATTTCGCATTTTGGGCTTGTGCCAATTGATAGAAAAGAGGAAATTTTGACGGATCAAGGTAAAAATTTGATATTTCTCGTGGCGAATACGAACGTCAGAATTTTACCTAGCCCACCTAGCTTTTTGTCACCGCGATCCTAGGTACGTTGGTAATGCAGTTAAATATTCAGCAATTCAGCTATGAAGAATTGTGCAAATCCTGGCATTGCATATTTCACGGGGCAAAAATTTGTTACCAGTTTATGAGATGGTAACAAAATTTACCGGTTACAAGAATACACAGAATGTGAAAAGGGTTTAAAAATTGACAGGAACTTTACTTACCGGTTACAAACTTTTTATTACCAGCGCAGAATAGACCTGTTAGTAGGAAAGAAAGTTTGCAGTGGTAACCCTGCAATATACAATAATCGATAGTGTTTAGAAAAAATCGATAGTAGCGGCAACATGAAACCATCGTACTATCGATAGTTCTGCATCACTATTCTTCAGTTTGTCCATTGTGGAAGAATACAAGTGAGATATCTTAGGGTTGACAGATAGTTGACAGGGTGTTCAATATGGCGATGACAGTGTGAACAATATGGCAGCCAATATGGCATACAACACCGAATAGCCCGAAGTAGCCAAACTACGACCCGAATGAAACGCTTCGTGAAAATCCAGGGTTGCGAAGTGGTATTTTGTTGGAAAATATAAAAGCCAGGATTTTGTGCAGCGCCGAATTTTAACAAAAGAGGGTTTTGTGTTCTCAAGATGAACAGAAAAGGGTTGCTGTGCTGTTTCGTTTTAAGCTTATTTTAATCTTAAGGTATCTAATTAAATATTAAAAGGAGACAAAAATTAAAGCAAAAATTTAAAATATATGTACATATCTGAAAATTTTAAATAAAATATATATTTTCACGAGAGACAAATTAAATAAAATGGGTTAACTTTAGGGGAAATATACTTATCAGATTGGGTCAGATAGCGCTTTTACGTTATAAATAAAAATAATTCCTACTTAAATTTTATATAATTTTGGTAACGTATTTCTAAGCTGACCCTGAGATCTGTGAAATAATACATATTTATGTGCATATATTGTGTTGATTATGCTCTAAATCGCTAAATAATTCTTGCAGCAATCAGCACCATTGGAAAGTGAAGTGACAATAGGCTGGTTTTCTTTATACAGCCCGTTTTAAATTCGTATTATTGTTATAATAAATTACAATTATTGTTTTTTTCCATTTCGGTCAACCGCGCAAATTATTTATTAAAAAAATGTCGTTTAAGAATAGCAATTTTGTTTACTTTTGAATAAGACTTTATCGAGTGCGCTATAAAGACAGGGGGATAAATGCTGTAAAGAAATATATGTTGAGTCCAATCGGTTTTTTGCTAATCCGGTTTTTGTGTAGGTATAAACAAGGTATATTAAAAAAATAAATCTCCATGAAAAAATATCGTTATGTTCGCATTTAAAATTAATCGGGATTTTATGGGGGGTTATAAAAACTCGTTTAAATTGAAACTTTGTTTTTTTCGGCTATATTTGTTGTTATTTATTGGCCCAGATGCAAATATTGAATGAACTAACATATTTTAAATATTTACGGAACTACCATTTGTATACAATCCTGTATTCAAGTAGATGTAATTCGAAAAATTTTAACGGATTTCTTTAAATCAACCTGAGCTGCGGACATATTGCGAATTCATTTTAAAACATTAACCACTACATTATATTAGTATTTAATACTTTCAATTAAGAAACAATTATTATTAGAAAATAAATATGAATCGGTTTATTTTAAATATTCCAATGTATATTTTTTGTTAATGTAGATAGTGCGGATTTAACGTATTTTATAACCGTTACATGGGGAAAATAAATTTTAGGCAGATTGTTATTGACAATTTTTACATAATTTACGATTGCAATCAATTTCTTTCAAAACTATAAGCTAAATGATTGCAAGTTGTATTTTTTACGATCAAAACAGATTCCAATATTAGGTATATTATGCAAATGCGATCCAATTTGATTTGAGTTATTCAGTTTTAGATACATTTATATTTCTGTGTTCGTATGGAATAGTAGTTTATGTCGGGAAGCTGGCTTTAGTATAATCCGGCATTCCCTTTATTATTTACAACACAAGGAATTTTTTGATGACCCTTAACAAGAATATGGACGTGCTAGTATCGGAACTATTTCTTGCACGTTTATTTATCCAAAATTTCTTCAACGGCTCGGCGCCAGTGAGGGTATGCTGCGAATGCCGCATTATACTAAAACCAGCCTCTCGACATAAGCTACTATTCCATACGAGTGGAGCACGTGCGAAATGCGGATTTTCCCAGTTGCAGTACAGCAGTAACTCGACACCTTCCTCACCAACCGCTCTGTCCTCTATGAGCTTCTTAATGTAACTGCAAATAAAAGATGAAAATTTGAGAAAAAATACTATCACAGCGTTTCACTTGTAGCGTTTCACTCTTGTAGTATATTGGCTATCAAGCACCAGAAAATTTCCATCACGCATTCCATATGCCACCGATTGTCGTGGATCAATTAAAATACTGTCATCACAGCTTTTTGGTACTCCAGCAACTGGTGTGTCTATGGCGGAGTTATGTGGAGCTGTTGCATGCTGTCCCAGAACGCCACCTATTGAATGAATACCTTTACATTTGAAGTTTGATCTGGCTACCCTGTAAACTGATCGCTGTTTGCCTTTCTGCCTATTCGTCGTTTCCCTTTGTCCTGTATCGCGGCGAATTCATTCGCCCTCATTTATATTCTGTCCTTGTAAAATTTGTTTCATTCGTTGGCAAGCACCCGGAAAGGCACACAGCGAAATAAACCACAGCTATCGCAAGTAAATCAAACGTGCGTTAAATTCGTTTTATTGATCCGGGGCCAACGACAACTTTATTTCGCTTATTGCAGCAGCAGCGCCAATGCTGTTTCTTTGATTTGCCAGCGAAGCCCTACGCTACCGGTATTTTGCGACGCCACCGCAGCGCCTCCGTTATTTGCGGTCGTAGCATTACTGTTCGTTTTTTCACATTCAACGCATTTGGGATTGTTAACATTTTTTTGCTGCCAATCTTTGTTATGTGTGCAACGTTTGCGATATCTCTAAAATTCGACTGCCACATACTTTCCTCCACTTGTGCTACATAAATTTGTTTGCCGTCTTCACCTCCACGCATGGAACGGACACCGCCACGTAGAAGCGCCCGCCTCATGAATAACACCAGCATTAACAGCAACGCATTATTATCGCCAATATTGGAAGCGTCCTTTAACACCGCAGTAAGTAATAGTTCTAACGTGCCCACCAGTGTCTCTAGTACAGCCGCCACAACCGACCAAATGCCTATCGACGATGGAGCCCCAGCCGCCCCAGCCGTTCACACGGTCGCAGGCACCGACTCCGTGCCGGTGTCACGCCAAATCCCCGAAAATAGCTCTGCTAGTCATAACTTCGACGACATCGAGAGACGCATAGCCATGCTGGAGCTCCACTTGAGGGACACCCAGGTACAGTTGCGGGAGCGTGAAGTCCAAAATGAAGTTCTTCGAGCAGCGTTATTGAGCAACGGTAGTTCTGCCGTTACTTACGCCAGCAGCGTAGTCGCGCAGTCGCAGCCAGCACCTCCGCCGCAGCCAGCACCGCCAGCGCCGCCGCGGTCAACGCAAACGCAATTCGAAGCACCGCTAACAAACGCACTGCCAACTAACGTACAGTCGGGTACCTCTACGCCCTTTATTGAAGCCCCATTTATGCCGCCGCCTACTTCGGTGAATTCGTACAGTTTTATACCACGGCCCGTTATTTGTAGCGCAATGTCTGATAATCTGCGCAACGCTTCAGCGCTCCCCGCGAACGATGTATTTTCATCGCAGTCATCGAGCGCTCCGATACCGACAACTCAGGCCAACGGGGCTCTCGCAAACTTACAGTACTCACCAAATAATTTTAACTTCCCTAAGAAATTGCTAGACTTGCCTGATTTTAGTGGTAGACCGGAAGACTGGCCCGTGTTTTATGCTGCGTTTATGGAGTCGACGGCGGCATATGGGTATAGTAATTTTGATAACAACCAGCGTCTTCAAAGGTGTTTGAAAGGCGATGCGCGTGAGACGGTGAAATCGTTGCTGATCCACCCTAACAATGTTGGATGCATTATTGAACAGTTGAAGTTCAGGTTTGGGCGGCCAGAGCAACTGGTTCGTAGTCAGTTAGCGCAGGTTAAGGAAATAGCGCCAATTTCCGAGAATTTTTTGAGTAAGCTAATACCGTTTGCGACCAAAGTGAAAAACGTTTGTGCTTTCTTGCAGTCAGCTGGCGCCGAACATCATATCTCCAATCCGATGTTGCTCGATGAACTTATCGCGAAGTTACCCATGAGCAAACGCATTGAGTGGGGCAGGTACGCCACCGCCCTGCAGATGCGAGCTACCGCACTACATTTTAGTGATTGGCTTACATCACTTGCCAACGTTATATGCACGGTTAACGATGAATGTCAACATCCTGCTCGTGAGCCCAAACGCCGCATGGTACTCCACTTGGACGAGACGATGTCGAGAAAATGCCCGTTATGCCAGGGCCAGCACAAGCCAGCTGACTGCAAGCGCCTAATTGAAGCAACGGTGAGCGATCGATGGACCGAAGTTAAATCCCGGCGATTATGTTTCGCCTGCCTAAATGCGGGTCATACTACAAGCAGTTGCAGAAGACGTAAGCTTTGTGGTATCGATGGGTGCAATCGGGCACATCATAGATTGCTCCATGAGTTCCGGTCAGAGCGCCCGTCAGCTCCACCCACGTCATCGTCACGAAGCGTCGCCCGCTCTGCGTCATCACGGTTTACGTCGCCACCAAACAATCCTCATCAGCAACCGTCTCGCGATAAAGGCGCAACAGTACTAAGTTGTGCTACCAACTCCCCAGAGAGAAAGCTGCTCTATCGTATCCTCCCGGTCACATTGTACGGAAAGCAACGCCGCGTCGACACCTACGCTTTACTCGATGAGGGCTCATCTATAACGATGCTCGATAGTAGCCTTGCAAAGGAGTTGGACTTGCAAGGACGGCCACACAGCCTGCACGTACAATGGTTCGGGGGACATGCGGTACAAGAGCCTGCCACTTTAGTTGACCTACATATAAGCGGTGCCGGTATGAAAAAAAGGCACAGCCTGCAACGAGTTCACGCCGTACGTAATCTTCAGCTGCCAACACAAAGCCTTAGTCGCAGCGATTTAATACTGGACGACAAAGAAGCACGCCACTTGCCAATGCAACCCCACTCTGGTGCGACCCCACGACTCCTCATCGGCATAGACAATTGCCATTTGGGTTTATCATCGACCACCATTACGATGAGGAAAAACGGGCCATTTGCAGCCAAAACGGAGCTCGGCTGGGTGGTGTTCGGTCCAGTTAGTAAATGCTCGCCCTCGCCAATAACGTGTCTATTCGTGAACTCCAGTCGGGATGAAGCGCTTCACGACATGGTCGCCGATTTTTTTGAGACTGAGAGCTTTGGTGTGAGACCATCGCCACCTATCGAAAGCGAGGCCGACATCCGTGCACGAGCCATGTTGGAGTCGACAACCTGTCGCGTTGGACCACGTTTCCAGACAGGACTGCTATGGAAGCACGACGACGTTCAATTGCCAGATAGCTACGGAATGGCGCTCAATAGGCTAAGGATCGTTGAAAAAAAAATGAGTCGTGATGTTGGATTTGCTGTCGCCTATAAGCAAATCATTGACAGCTACCTTGAGAAGGGCTACGCACGCAGACTCGCAACGTCTGAATACGCTTCGTCGACGCCACGTACCTGGTACTTGCCGCATTTCGCGGTAGTGAATCCGAACAAGCCGTTCAAACTGCGAATCGTGTTTGACGCTGCCGCCGAGGTCAATGGCATCTCCTTAAACAGTCGCCTGCTTAAGGGGCCACAAGAATACAAACCGCTGCCGTCTATTCTTTTCCGGTTCCGTGAACGGGCAGTTGGCTTGTGTGGCGACATCAGGGAAATGTTCCACCAAGTGCTTATAAGCCCAGAGGATAGACGCGCCCAGCGATTTTTATGGCGTGACGGTGACTCTGGCCGAACTCCCGATGTGTACGAGATGCGCGTGATGACATTTGGAGCCGCTTGCTCCCCTTGTGCGGCCCACTACGTTAAAACACGAAACGCGTTAGAACACAACAGCGACAGCCGCTATACAGCCCGCGCTATTACTGCTATTTTGGAAAATCATTATGTGGACGACTTCGTAGATAGCTTCAACTCGCCAAGGGAAGCCATCGACATCGGGGCACAGGTAAGAGCGATTCACATGGGCGCCGGCTTCGAGCTTCGCAATTTTACATCGAACTCGACGGAGGTGATTGCTGCGTTGGATGGCGTTGACGTCGATAAGGTTATTGGAATAAAGAATGGTCTGGGCACTGAGCGGGTACTGGGTTTGCATTGGCACTCCACGACTGACAACTTCAAATTTGGACTCAAATTCAATAACGTGAGTGAAGCGGTGATGAGCGGTACTAGATGTCCTACGAAGAGGGAGCTCCTCAGTGTGGTCATGTCCATATTTGATCCGCTGGGGTTCCTGGGTAACTTTGTTGTCGGGGCGAAGCTGTTAATGCGAGAGGTGTGGAGGCATGAAACACGCTGGGATGAACCACTTCCAGTAAACATTGCTGCGTCATGGGAAAAGTGGCGGAGGCAACTGCCATCGGTAGTCAGGTATACCTGTCCTCGATTCTACTTCCGCAACGGTGCGCCGGAAACACTACAGTTACACACATTTGTCGACGCCAGCGAGAATGCCTTTGCTGCCGTCACGTATTGGAGAGCCAAGAACGCTCGTGGTGAGGTAGAGGTTGCCTTTATTTGCGCGAAATCTAAGTGCGCTCCATTGAAGCCGCTTACCGTACCGCGCTTAGAGCTGCAAGCTGCCGTATTAGGAACGCGCCTACAGCAAGCCGTATGCGAAGCACACTCCTTTAAACCAAACAAACGTTTCCTTTGGTGTGATTCTACGACGGTCATCAAATGGGTTCGAAGCAAGCACCGTAAATATAAGCCGTTTGTTCAGCACAGAATTGCTGAAGTTTTAGCCACCACGCAAGTGTCCGAGTGGCGATGGATACCCACGGCAGAAAATGTGGCCGACGAAGCCACGCGCGCGAACCACGCAATCGTGTTTGGACCTACTGTGCGCTGGGTACTAGGCCCGTCGTTTCTACGAGAAGAGGAGCATGCCTGGCCCTCCGAAGATGCAGTTTTCCTAGACTCAGATGAGTACGATGAAGAACTACGACCACAACACGCATTAACCATCGTAAGTCAAAATTTCATAAACTTTAATCGCTTCTCTTCATACAACAGGTTGTTGAGGACCACAGCCTGGGTTATACTGTTCGTCAAAACCTGTCGCCGAATTCAAATTAAGAGTCCCTACGGTCTTAGTGCTGGCGATCTTGAAGCGGCGAAACTGCTCCTATGCCGACTGGTTCAGGGCGAATCCTTCTCCGAAGAAATTCAGCAGATACGCGATGGACAAGACATAACGAGACAGAGCTCGTTGCTACAACTGCTGCCATACCTAGACGAGGATGGTGTACTACGTGCTCGCGGGCGCATTGATGCCGCCAGCTGGCTTCCGATCTACACGAGGCGCCCCATAATATTGCCACCCACTCACGCATATACGAAGCTAGTTACAGCACATCATCACGTTCTCATGGGTCATCAAAATTCTGAAGCTACAATATGCGCCATCCGCCGCGTCTACTGGGTACCTCGGTTAAGGACGCTTCTACGAAACGTCAGCGCCAGCTGTAATGTGTGCCGCCTCCGTAAGGCGACACCGGTTCCGCCACTAATGGGGCCGCTTCCCATCGATAGGCTCACGCCCCACGTTAGGGCGTTTACATACACTGGCATGGACTATTTTGGACCCCTCAACGTAACAGTACGGCGCAGCACCGAAAAGCGGTGGGTGGCACTTTTCACCTGCCTTACCACACGAGCAGTGCACCTGGAAATGGCACACGACTTGAGCACTGACTCATGCATCATCGTCCTTCGCAATTTTGTTAACCGCAGAGGAGTGCCTGTGAGGTTAAGATCCGATAACGGAAAGAACTTCGTTGGCGCCAATAATGAAGCCAAACGATTCTCTGAAGTTTTCGACTGCGAGCGTGTGCAGGGTGAATTGTCGCAACGAGGCATCGATTGGGTATTTAACTCGCCGTTTAACCCAGCTGAAGGAGGCGCCTGGGAGAGGATGGTGCAGTGCGTCAAGCGAGTGTTGCGCCAAACGCTAAAGGAAGTGGCCCCACGTGAGCACACGCTCAATTGCTTTCTGCTCGAGGCGGAAAACGTCGTCAACTCCCGGCCTCTCACGCACCTGCCCATCTCTCCCAACCAAGAGCAGCCGTTAACGCCGAACGATTTCCTGCTGGGGTCATCCAATACTGCGCATACGCCCAGTGTGACCGAAATACCAACCACTCCCCGTGCTATGCGTCAGCAGTGGCGAATTGCTCGCCAACTCAGAGACCATTTCTGGAAGAGATGGGTGCTGGAGTATCTCCCGACGCTAACACGTCGTGAGAAGTGGTGTCAACCAACAAAACCGTTGAAGGGAGGGGACTTAGTATTCCTGTGCGACCCTAACGTTCCAAGAAGGCAATGGTGCCGAGGCGTGGTGGAGCAGTTGTATCCTGGCAAAGATGGTGAGATACGGCAAGTTGATGTGCGCACGAACTCCGGGGTGAAGCGAAGAGCCGTTGCAAAGTTAGCCGTTCTGGATATTGAAGCTGGTGAATCGGGAGATTCACGGGGGCGGGGATGTCCCAGAACGCCACCTATTGAATGAATACCTTTACATTTGAAGTTTGATCTGGCTACCCTGTAAACTGATCGCTGTTTGCCTTTCTGCCTATTCGTCGTTTCCCTTTGTCCTGTATCGCGGCGAATTCATTCGCCCTCATTTATATTCTGTCCTTGTAAAATTTGTTTCATTCGTTGGCAAGCACCCGGAAAGGCACACAGCGAAATAAACCACAGCTATCGCAAGTAAATCAAACGTGCGTTAAATTCGTTTTATTGATCCGGGGCCAACGACACATGCCTAAAATCAATTTGGGCTCTTTGAGAACTGGCTTGTTTGTTGCGCGCTATTGGCATCAAATGTATGCAAATTAGATTTCCAAACGGGCAACTGTTGAATACAGGAAAAAATGTATTTTATATGGATCCGCTAAAGTGCACCACTACCGTGTATAAATTGGCCGACCTTCTAATAAATCAAGCAATCTTATTGTATCGTCATCGCCGCCAGTCACCAAGAAATTTCCACTTGGGTGAAATGCAACATCATTCTCCGGCGACGAATGCACTGTATTAGCTCGCCTTCAGCTTTGTCAAATATCTGAACGCGGTTACAACTTAATGCTAAAGCCACCAGATTGCCGTCTGGATGCCATGCCAGCTGTCGTCCCATACCTCTTCCCCCGGTGAACGTTCGCATACATTCGCCTGAAAATGTATCGCAAATTCTTAACTTGTCGCCGCACGATGAAATGAACTTACCATTAGGGCTGAATTTTGCTGCGCGCACCCATTTGTGTGTATTTTGAATCAGTATTTTGATGGCTGTTCGCCATTTTTCTAGTCTGCAAACGAATAAGCTGACGAAGAAGCAAACAAATTCAAGCACATTGTTGCATTCTACCGTACATTTTAAAAGCTTTAAAATCTTAAAACATATGTGAAAAACTTTTATAATCTGAATATTTCTAATGTCGCAATCAAAACCAAATTTTATAAATAGCATTTTTAAAAAGCAATCATCTAATATTTTTCAAGTTTTTGGGCATATATGTTACCATTTGAACAACAAATACTACCAAGTTTTAAGAGACTATTTAATGCAACTCAGGTCAAAAAAGCGCACTTTAGACCAAAATAAGCAACTCTAAAAAACAGATGATCGCAGCTGTGGCCCAGGATGACGTCTATTGCTAAGATATCTCACTTGTATTTGTACACAATGAGTTTGTCGCTTTATTTGATTCTTATTGGATGTGTTTTCGCCTGTTCATTTCGCGCTGATTTGACGATTGGCCCATTTTCCAGCGAAATTTTTGTTTTCCACCAACTTAAAAAAAAAAACGATTGTGACTTTTTTATTCATACGGCCCGATACCTATGTGTATACAAATTTTAAAAGGTGACAAAATAAAATAGACAGTGTGGGTTGTAAAGGGCCTATATTAATATCTTAAATAAACCAAGCCTTTGTTGACTTAAATGAAAACGGCTACGCTTCTGTTCTCGCATCTTGAATCATGCATCAGTTCAGGAAAGAGTGGCTCACGTCGGCATCAAGAATGGTGCCTAAAGTTTAAGAACGACGCAAATTTTCGTATTTAATGTGCAACCCAAGCAACTTACTATGGGCATATAAGTAGAATGTACTGCCGGAGAAGCTATTGTTCACAAATTGGTCATATCAACATATTCATTTCTATAGAAATCGACCTAATGTGAGTTTCGTAAATGAATTAGCGTTTTGTTACATTTTAATAACGGTTAACGAAACCTGTCGAACGCTTCTTGAATTAATTTTATTATGTTTTTTGTTGTGTCTAAGGCTCGCGCAACTTTGTTCATTGGAGTAAACATACTTACATACATATGTGTACATGTCTTACTTGCCCAACTGGTTTTTAACTTTCTTCAACGAAATACTGCCATACCACCAAAGCAACCAGCATTCAAGCAATAATTGGAAAAAAGCTTTCGAATGTGATACCTTTAATCGTAAAATTTACTAGTTAATATATAAAATATATATTACAACAGGATAATTCAGTATTCATTCTGTCTGGGATTTCGATGCAAAATAAAGTATCCAGCTCAACAGAATTGTTCAAAAGAAAGAGGCGGAGGTAAGTGTGCGCATAGTGGTTGTACATATTTTTTTTTGTATTATTTTAAGATTTACTTTAACAAAGTCTTAGCGGTAGAAGATATAGCTTCTACTCATCAGACATCTTTTTCTAGAATCAGCAGGAGACGAAACCGCATCATCGATGCGCAAAGTCAGTAACGCTAACCGCTGAGCTAACAGTGTATTTTTGTTGTATGGATCTTCCAGTTCTTCATTGCTATTTTACACTAGGCTAAGTGGTTGTTTATATTTTTTATAGGTGGAAAATGGCTGAGAGGGTTAAGTGTTTTAAATTATCCGAATTCGATATGCGATGAAGAATTGCTTGATTTCGTCGATTCCAAAAAACTTCAAAAATTCAGGGTTTTATTCAAATTTAAATATCAATTTGTGCTGCTCAAACGCCTAAAACTGGCTTTTTGAGTATCATAATCATGTTCAGTAATTAATGTAACCACTTAATTGTAATCAACTGTGTTTAACACTTCAATAAAAATTTAAATATAAAACATTACCTAGCAGTCAAACTGAGCGCGTTAATTGAATAAGTCGTTCGTTCATAAAGATGCTCTACGAAATAGCGAAATAACGCACAGTATTGTACCACAAGAGCAATTTATTTACCGGTCCTTAATTTTACGGGTGACTTGCAGAATTGGTCGTTTTGCAAATATTGAAAATATGACAAATTTTCTTGACTTTTTACAACGCATAAATATTAAAAATAAAAATTTCTTTTTATCTTGTAGTTTTCCTTTTTTTTTGAAAAAAAATTATTTAATCATGAGGTATAGCAGCATGAAATGTCACAATCTGCTGTTCTTAAAGAAAAAGTCCCCTCAGACGACTAAACAGATTTGGCTTAAAAAATCTGCATAAAAATATTTAAAAATATTTTCAACGGAATCGTAATAATGAGATTTTTGATACTGTTTTTTACATTTTTCAACGATTGACTTACAATAAACTTAAATAACTGGGCCAAAACTATTTTGATTTAACTTATGGGATCTCGGTAGAAAGGTATTTTCCCACTATTTTTATTTATGTGCAAAAAAAAGTCATTCGTGTTCCATTTTTTTTTTTTCAAATACCAACACATCTCAATTCAACTTTGAATGATGTTCGTTCGTCCTACCCTTCTCTTGCATCCTTTGCATGAGCTTATTAGCAATGAAATAAAAAGGGCGAGAAAATATCTTTCCAATGGTACCTCACAAGTCTAAATCGGAAGAGTTTAGGTTCAGTTATTCAAGTTTTTCTTATACCAATCTTTGAAAAGTCAAAAAAACAGCATCAAAAATCTCCGTTCAAAAATTTTTTATTGATTTATTTTACTTTTTTTAATATTTTTATGTAAATTTTTTAAGCTTAAACCGTTTTGTCATTTGAGGGAATTTTTTCAAAAAACATCTTTAGGAAACTATTTTTATTCATAAAAAAACTCCATTTTTGGAGGTATTTTTAAATCGGTCCAGCTTGCTTAAATTTTAATATTTCTCATAAAAATACAATCGCCGTTCGGAGTCGGCGTAAAACTGTAGGTCCCTCCGCTTTGTGTGACAACATCAAGGCGCACGCCACAAGTCGGAGGAGAAGCTCGGCCAAACACTAACATATGTGTAAGCGCCAATCTATTATTATTATTATTATGTACAGTATCGTTCATATCTATAGCACGCCATTTCAAAGTTATATTGTTTGCCGCTTATGTTTATTTATTTATTTTTAAGAATTTTCGATAAAAATATAGTTCATTCTCAGACAAAATCCATGCAAACCCAAGTTTAACAATTTGTAGAAAACTACAAATTAGTGCAACAAATTTTCACCTAAATTTCAAACTTTTATCTCGCAGGGACCTCTTGCCAAATTGGTGTTGGAAAAATTCGAAGCCGTTTTCTCAGCTAACGTAGGCTTGGAGACAATAAGGGGTGTGGATAAAATTGTAAAGGGCGAGGAAAATGCCCTTATTTCTGATAATATGAACGTTTCAAACGTTCCATATTTAAATTGAGCTCCACTTGTATAAACTTACGTCGAGCGCACATTTAGTACATTCAAGGCTTTTCTTCGCGAAAATCGAATGAAAATGCTGCCAGAACACTTCAAAATGCATCTTATGGTTCAATGTTACTACAACTATACAGATTAAAGTTTTATGTGTTAGAAACTCGAAAGGATAAAATAGTCAAAGATTCAAAGTTCAAATTTTTCATATAATGAAACTAGTTTATTGTTTTTCTCCTTTTACTTGTAATATAAACATTTCTAAAATAAATGTATTTTTTGATTGTTCTTAGTATTTCCTGTCTTTTTTTAGTGTCTTATTTTGCTTTTTTTGCAATACCTAGTGCCTTTTCCTGCCTTTTTCGCTATTTTATTTTGCCTTTTCCAGCCTATTCCGTTATTTTATTTTGCATTTTTTATAGGTTTTTAGGTCCTAAAAATTCTTTCCCTGCTCATGACCAAGGCACATAAATAAATACAGGTAGAAGCCAAAATGACGTTGCTCTCATGAGAACCAAACCTTTAAACTTCAACTTGTTTTTCTTTTATTTCCTATATTTCGTTACGCTTTGAATGTCATATCGTTGTTTTTTTTTTTTTTTGAATGTTCGTTAATAACAAATTTTAATTAACATTTGAATTTTTGTAGTGTTGGGCAGTTTATACTTAATGTATGTGTTAAAAATGCAACACCGAAGCGTTGTTTTTTATGTGGTGTTAAATATAAAGCAGATACCATTTAACGTGCCTCAATGTCCTTCGCGTAAAGAGCGTTGGGAAAGCAGCTGTGGGCCAGAGCTGCAGCGAAATGCCTTGCTGTGCGTTAAACATTTTAAAGCAGCAGATTTCATAAATGCACCGGGAGGTACAGGAAAGGCACGTTTGATGCCAAGTGCTGTTCCTATGACCCT